ATCTTCACCACGTTATTAACTACTAGCGAGAACTCGTGCATACTGCACGGCAGCGTTTTTTTTTCTTTAGCGTATGACCTCAAAACTTTAACGTTTCACTCGGTAACAGACACACAAACACTCGACATTATGTACATAAAAGGCCTACGGCGTAATATCCTTATATCGCTAATAACCCATGTAACCTTAGGACCTTACAGTCTTATATCTCTTGTAGCGCTTGTAGCCTTACCCTTGTAGCCTAACTTCCTTATAGCGTTCCTCCCTTATAGCCTTACCTCCTTATTGTCTTACCTCTTATAGTCTCACCTCTGAATAGCCTTACTCCCTTATTGCCTTGCCCCTTTATAACCTTACCTCCTTACAGCCCTACTCGCCTACATCTTTACTCCCTTATAGTCTTACCACCTTATAGCCTTTCCCCGTGTAGCCTTACTCCTTGTAACTATATGCCTTATTACCTTGCTCCCTTGTAGCCTTACCCCTTATAGCCTTATTCCGTTATAGCCTTACTCCCTTATTGCCATAACCCTTTATAACCTTACCGTCTTATAACCCTACTCCTCTACAGCTTTACTCTCTCATAGTCTTACCCCCCCCCCCGCCCCACAACCTTATTTGACCTTTAACCTTTGATCCGGCACCGAGAAACACATACATTGAACACACAACTGCGACGGGTCTATTTATACCCATTTGTAACCTATCCTAGAACCTTCAAGAAAATTCTCTTGAACTGATTATCGATCATTCATGACTTATGATCCGGGACCATGATATACGATCAGTGAAAATTTCGAATGTTCTTTGCCCTTTAACCGTTGAGCTTTAACCTTTGACTTTTGAGCCTTATATCCCTTGTAGCCTTGTCTCCTGATTGTCTTATCCCTTATTACCAACCCCCTTAGTCCTTTGAGGCCTATGGATACCACCATATAACAGCCTATGAGGACCTACGGGTACTTCCATATAATAGCTCATGAGGACCTGTGGATACCTCCATTGGATAGCTCTTGAGGACCTTTTGGTACTTCCATATAATAGCTCATGAGAACCTGTGGATACCTCCATTGGATAGCCCTTGAGGACCTATGGGTACCCCAATATAGTAGCCGTTGGCGCCTTCCCCTTATAGCCTTATTTGACCTTTGACCCGGCACAGACAGACACACACTGAACATTATATATATAGATTGATTAATGCATATACATGTTCTCATGTTAAGAATGCAGACCTTTACCTAAGATTATTTGACCACGAGTATATCGTGAATCATGATATATATTCATATTTGGTGTAAAAACAACTTAATCATCACAACCTTCTTTAATAAATCCGACTCTTTCTCTTGATATAATATCAGATATATTATGCGAAACACTCGTATTAAATGATGCATCAACATTCATGGGCATAAGAAAACTAGCAGGTGTAGCTCAATGATCACCAACTGAAATCTCGATGAATAAGCAACGCCACATAAATCTTCCGACTACAATTTTAAATTGCGCCAACCTTAACGAAGTAGATTGGCCATGATTAGCTGGACAACAACCAACTTAACCGCTCTTATCTTTAGCAGGTATCATTTTCGTATAGAAATATTTTTTCAAAATAGCTGTTTACATATTGCTTTCTTGATTTATTAAACAAATCTAATAATTACATTGAACGTGAACGCTATTTACAACAAAGGAAAATAGATATAAAAATCTTTTGAATGTTCTAAATTGACATCTTCATGAAAAGTAATGTTTCAATTTTGCACAGTTAATACGCGTTGCATTTCTTGTGAAACTTTCTGTTAAAAAGAAGTCCTGCTGATGGCAACTTACTTGGATTAAATCTTGATATCCCAAAGACTGTTGAATCCCATTCATCCGTTGCTGACAAGTTCGTTACCTTTTCTATCTCCACAAAATATTTGTATAGAAAATTACGAAGAAGTCTTTTGAATACTGAGAGTAAGGACCAGCACAATGGCCAACATTATTTAGCTATCACTCCATTTTTGTTCGGTCGATTGACTTGAAGCTATTACGTTCGAACTCAATTTTTCAAATAGTATTTATGATTCAAAATTTCTTTGAAAATATTTCTACTTCAGCTAAATGTTGACACATTCCAAAACTTTCAACTATAGTCTGTTCAGAAACTCCGTGCGTGTGACTGTTTGTTGAATAACTCAAGAATGGAAGCAGCTAGAGACCTGCTATTTTCACTAGTCAAAAGAGGTGACACGTGACCGTTTTTTTCTCCAATATTGTACAAGACGAATTCATTGTAAAATCAATCATTTTCTCAAAACATTAGAAAATATGCGTGATAACGGTCTATTATTTCGATGAGATTCTGGTTTTAATATGTGATCTGGATAGAGGGATTTCAGATCTATAACTTAAGATATAATTTAAATGATTATCTTCACACCTTCTAATATTAAGGAAATACAATTCTCTATTTGCTCCCTCGAAAAATACGAATTTCTCTTGAACCTTTTTACTTGTTATTAAAAATTTCATCACAACGATAGAATATTATCATACATTTTTTCGAGATTTTGTAAAAAGAGTTGATTTTAAAATGACTTCATCCTATACAATATTGGAGAAAAAGACGTACCCGTATCATCTCCTTCGACTGATGAAAACCGCAGATTTCTAGCTATTTGCATTTTTGAGTTATTCAACAAACAGTCACACCCACGGACTTTTTGGACGGATTATAGTATTATGAATCCTTTCCGAAGTGTTTCAACATATGTAGTGATGATAAGACATATTTTTTGTATAGTACAATCTTTTCTATAGATGCAACGTACAGTTCCGGATAATAAAACGAAATCATTGACACAAACGTTCATTGAAGAGCCAGTTTCTGTTGACTCAAATAGACCATCAAATGCGGTTTCAGATGAACTCATTGCAGTAAATATCATTACTCCTATCGACAATCGAAAAACTTCACAGACAACTGAATCAATTGGGTATGATATTTATCTCTGTCGTTTTTATTCACGATTCATATTTGTCTTCGCTAGGGTTGTTTTGCGTTCATCAGTCTCGTTCTCTACTACTGGCATTATTTGGATGAGTGTATTTACAAGTATCATGATGGCCATCAGTATTTTGATAGTTTATTTAACTTCATCAAAAGAAATAAGCACGTTTTATATTATTGTTAGTGTGCCGAAGTTCAATTAGTTGCCAAACGATTATAAGACAGCTCCATTTAAGATACTCCAAAATTCAGATTAAAAGTTCAATATAATCATATTAATTTTAATTGAAAATAAAACTTAACTCGAGTTTTCAAGATGAAATCGTCATTCGATTTAAAAATAGAGTTGCACCTCGTTAAGATCTCTTGATTTCTAAAACCTCAAGTTTTCATCAGCAAAGACAGTTTTTGAGAAAAACCTACTGTCATGTAACCTGAATCTAGAGAAAAATTGATATCTGTTGAATCACTCAAATTTTCACAATGAAGCTCTGTAAAATATTCAGATGATTTTCAAAGTACATCAAATCTTGCGAATATTCAACATACATTGTTGATATCCCTAAAAAGAACTACAGGCCATTATCGCATAAAATCTAGAACGCAGCTGTTCTATATATAACTGTTTGAAGTTATAATAATCCGGTTTAGAGTGCTGCAATTGACATAGAATATGTTTATGGTTCTATACTGTCTTAAGAAATAACAAAAGAGTTATACAATAAAATGTCTTTTGCGCTTTTCTTAAAATTGCTTTTTACGGGAGTAATCAACCTGCGGACAAGTTTGCTTTTTTCAGTATATCTTATGGTTAATGCGCGCAGTTGTCTTTGGACAGGTACGTACATAGTATTTCAAATGAGCAGAAGAATTTTCTAATTAATCATTTATGTTAGATAAACTTCTATTTGTTTTGCTTTCCTTCAAATAACACAATCCCGGTTGTGTAATTTTAAGTATAGTGAGAAAGAATTTTAAAATTCATCATTTTATTATTCATATTACTAACATTTATAAAATATTTTTTGTAGTTACCTCATAAATTGTATCGAAAATTGACCTCTGAAGGAAGAATTTTTTGAGTCATATTCAATTTTAATTAACAAAAGAAGATCACTGGGACTGGGACTAGGACTGAGTTTCAGAAGTTGTTCGATATCTTGATGTTTCCATTTCGACAGTACGTCCAACATCAAAGATAGTCTTTAATTCTAAATTTAAGGTTCGAATATTCGACTGTAAGTATTTCTGCAATTGATCCGAGAGTTGAAAATGATATGAATAAAACTTCTATATGAGTCGAAGCCTATTCAATCATAGAGGTGTTAATGATGTTAGTGAATGTCAACAAACCAGCTAACTTAAATTTTGTCTACAATATACGTAGTAGTAACAGTTTTCATTAGAATCTCACCGTCACAAAATATTCGTCATCTATTCGGATTTGACGGCAACAGTAATAAGGACGGAATATTTCCATTGACTTGTATACGTGCTAGGATGGAATTAAAATCAATTTTTCACCGAATCATCTCATTTTTCTTAGGTAAAATATGTCAACGTAGTTTTAAAACAACAGTTGGACATTTAACTGGCTATAATTCCCATCCAAGATCTGTGACCACTGGTGATATGAACAATGATACACAACTCGATATTGTGGTTGCCAATTCAGGTACAGATAATGTCAGAATCTTGTACGGATATGGTAATAGCACTTTTGCAAGTCAAATAACGTATTCAACTGGATCTAGATCTCAGCCATATTCGGTTGCTGTCGGTGACTTTAAGAGGGACCATCTACTCGATATCGAGGTTGCCAATTATGGAACTAATAGCATTGGCATACTTCTGCCAAATGGTAACGGAAGCTTTACTAGTGCAAGACTATTTTCACTTGGTTCCTCGCGTCCAGTGTCGATCGTTATTGCTGATTTCAACAATGACAATATATTGGATCTTGCCACTGCTAATTATGATACCAGCAATGTAGGCGTTCTTCTTGGTTATGAAGATGGATCTTTTGGTATCCACATGACATACTCCACTGGTTATGATTCCCTTCCATACTCTGTCGCCGTCGGTGATTTCAATCGTGATAATCGACCAGATATTGCAGTCATTAATTCTGGAACCAGCAACGTAGGTATTTTTCTTGGACATGGTAATGGATCTTTTGGAATTCAAGTGACATTTTCACCTGGCTATCATTCTGTTCCATACTCTGTGGCGACTACGGATGTTAACAGCGACGATCAACTTGATATTATTGTCGCTAATTACGGTTCTAGCAGTATTGGTGTGCTGCTGAGATATGGTAATGGGACTTTGGGAATGGTAAGAACGTATTTTCTTAACTCTGAATCTCATCCGAGTTCGGTTGTCGTTGGTGATTTCAACGAAGACAATGAAATGGATATTGCTGTAGCTAACTCTAACCATGAAACAGTAGTTTTATTAAGTGGATTCAAAAATGGAACTGTTATTAGTCAAGAGAAGTATTCAACAGGTTTTGGATCTAAACCATCGTCGATCGCTGTAGGTGATTTCAACAATGATCATCATTTGGATATTGCTGTAGCCAACAGGGATAGTAACAATATAGATGTATTTCTTCGATATATTTATAAACCCTTTACAAAGCAAACGATGTATTCAACTGAAAAGGATTCTCAACCGCGGTTGATCGCTCTTGGTGATTTCAACAACGATAGTCAAGTAGATTTTGCTGTTGCAAATTACGACTCGGACGAAGTAGTCATTTTTCTTGGATACGGGAACGGTACTTTCGGAAAAGCAATGAAATATTCAAGTGAAATAGAATCATCTCCCAAATCAATTGCAGTTGGTGATTTTAATAACGACAATTGGCTTGATATTGCCGTTGCCCATTACAGCCCTTATAATCTAGCTCTTCTTATTGGATATGGAAATGAAACGTTCGAAAAAATATCACAATATTTAAATGAAGACGAGTCAGGTTTACTGTGGATCATTGCTGGCGATTTCAACAACGACAAACAAATTGATATCGCTTGTGTTAATTATCCTACTAGTGATGTTGTTATACTTCTTGGAAATGGGAATGGGACGTTCAGAAATGGAACTTTATATTCCACTGGAAAAGGTATTTTTGCTCGCTCAATAACAGTTGGTGATTTTAACAACGGCAATCAATTGGATATTGCTACTGCCAATTATGGCACTAATAGCATAGGTGTTTTGTTTGGATATGAAAATGGAACATTTGCAGCAGTTACGACGTATGCTATGGGAGATGGTTTTCAACCGTTGATGATTGCCCCTGGCTATTTCAATAACAATAGTTGGTTAGATATCGCTATCGTTTATCCGGAAATAGACCAGATAGGTTTGCTTCTCGGACTTGATTACACATATGTTGTCAGTACAGCATCTTACCCAACTGGCTCTGGTTCTCACCCATACTCAATCTCGATTAGTGACTTTAATAATGATGGTACACTAGACATGGCCATTACCAATACAGGACATGAAAACATAGGTGTTCGTCTCGGATATGACAATGGAACGTTTGCACTTGAAACAACATATTTCATCGGATCTGGTTCCCGTCCACAATACGTCACTGTTGGTGATTTCAACATGGACAATAAAATAGACATTGCTACGGCCAATAGTGGTAATGACACGATAAGTATTTTGTATGTGTATAGTGATGAAACGTCTTGGAGACGAGAGACTTATTCAACTGGAGATGGATCTCAACCTTCTTCACTCGCCATTGGAGATTTTAACAACGACACCCGATCAGATATTGTCGTTACCAATCCAGGCACCAACAGTGTAGGTGTTTTTCTTTCTTTTAACTATGTAACCTTTGGACATGAAACGATATATTCAACTGGCTTTACTGCCGCATCATATTCATTGGCTATCGGCGATTTCAACCACGATAATCAATCAGACATAGTCGTGGTCAATAGTGAGAGAGCCAATATCGGTGTTTTTCTTGGGTATAAGAATGGAACTTTTTCGACACAAACAAAGTATTCAACTGGTTCTAAATCTAAGCCGCAGTACGTTGCTATTGGTGATTTCAATAATGATGATCATTTAGACATCGTTGTCGTGAATAATGATAAGGCAAATATTGGTATCTTCCTCGGTTATGGAAATGGGACTTTTGCCGGTCAAACAGCGTATTCAACTGGTTCTAAATCCGATCCATACTATGTTGCTATTGGTGATTTCGATCACGATACAAATCAAGATATCGTCGTCGCACAGTATGGCACACACAACATAGGAATCTTCCTTGGATATGGTGATGGAAATTTTTCGACACCATCGATATATTCAACGGGTGCTGAGTCTAAGCCAGCATCTGTCACTACCGGTGATCTCAACAATGACAGTCACTTGGACATCATCGTCGCTAATTACGGCAAAGATAATATCGGTGTTCTTTTTGGCTATGGAAATGCAACTTTTTCAGCACTAACGATGTATTCAACAGATGCTGGTTCTAATCCAGTGTGTGTCACCGTTATTGATATTAATAATGATGATCAACTCGATATCGTCGTTGTGAATGAGGGTACATACAACATAGGTATTTTTTTAGGTTATGGCAATGGAACTTTTGGAAGTCAAAAGACGTATTCGACTGGAAGTGGTGCTTTATCGTTCAGTGTCGCCGTTGCTGATCTAAACAATGACAATCGACTCGATATTGTCTCTGTCAACTTTGGCAGTAATAATATAGGTGTGTTTTTTGGATATGGTGATGGGAGTTTTACGGACCAACTGACATTCTCAACAGGAGACGGTTCTGGTCCGAGTGGAGTTGTTATAGCTGATTTCAATAATGACAATCTATTAGATATGGCTATCGCAAATTGGGGAGCTGACAATATGCTAATACTTTTTCAATATGGTCATCAACCTTTTCTCAATCAAATGACTCATTTTACTGGAAATTATTCTCGACCGTATTCGGTTGCCGTTGGTGATTTTAACGAAGATCGTCAATTAGATATTGTCGTTGCTAATTATGATATTGATAATGTTGTCATACTTCTTGGTTCTAGAAATGGAACTTTTCAAAATGAAATGACATATTCAACTGGCTTCAAATCTGGTCCATGTTCAGTTGCTGTTGGTGATTTCAATGGTGACGATCACTTAGTTATCGTCGTCGCTAATTCGCTTACCAATAATATAGGTATTCTTCTTGGATCTGGTAACGCAACATTTACCGTCAGAAATTCATATTCAACTGGAGATGATTCTCGTCCGAAGATGGTCTCAGTATGTGATGTGAATAACGATAATCAATTAGATATCGTAGTCGTCAATTCTGGCAGTAGCAATATTCTTGTCTTTTTCGGATATGGCAACGGAACTTTTGGAGATATGCATTCCTATTTGATGGGTTATGATAGTCGTCCATACTCGGTAGCTGTTGGCGATTTTAATAACGATAGTTGGATAGATATGGCTGTTACAAATTATGGTACTGATAATGTAGAAATTATTTTGCAAACATGTTAATTTTTTCTTACTTTCTAGCGTATGAATTATTTTTTCCTAATATACCCGCTCTGTATACATACCAATCATGTATCGGAATAGTTTTCTTTCACATTTATCAATATCACTTTATATCATTTCAATAAAAGTGTTAAATATTCCTTCTTTAACATGCAATATAGTTCCTGTGAATACTAATAGTGCTAGAATAAAAATAACAAGTAACGAGATGAAAGCGTCGCTGCTCCACTACTGTAGTGATATTGCTACGTTAAATAAATGATGAAAGATCATACGATATGAGACAGGCGAACCAAATAACGAGCTTCAAGATGTTTATATATATGGTGAAAACAAACGACATGTATCACAACAATTAC